TATGTTTTATTTACTTTTACTTTTTACCGTAAGACGGAGCTGTATGTAGTTAGTTCACGAAATGACAGTTGCTTTTGCATTTATATAGACGTTGAACGTTGATTGGATAATTCTTAGGTATCACATTGTAACCGAACCAAAAGTTAGAGTCTAAGTTAAAATAATGCGTTGATTGATATCGGTTCTGCAGTATTCATATCTGGTCAAGCTTACGTAGCACTTTCGAGAGTTACAAATCTTGGCGGCTTACATTTAATTAATCTCGACCTCAATTTGTGAATATAAATAGACTTAGAAGCAATTATCGTTCGGACTTGACTAAGCTTTTAACATCAAGGCCTCCGAGAAAAACCCATAGATACAGGGAGTGGGCTTTGAGAAAAGCTGTAACTGAAGCTCAGGAAGTAGTACCGGAAAAGTAAAAGAGGAACCTACAAAAATAAAAAAGGTCACAAGACAGCTCATCAGAAGACTTGTTGGTATTCAAGAAGTAAAAGGTACCTGAAAGAAATAAGTAGGGCTATCTACAAAAAAAAAGAGATGCCATCAAAAACATAACTTGCAAAAAAACCAAGTGTCGCAACTCAGTTCTACTTCTACTACCGTCAAAAGTTGTGAGATCTATGTTATGCCAAGTCGGTTGCCAGTAATTTATTCAGTCCCTACTTAAGGAACCTTTTATCTTTAGTTATTACGAAATTAGCTCACCTAACAACATCTTATACTGACCATATCAATATTGAAAATATTGTATGTTTTAAATAAATAAATTTACTTGGCAATCGCACTCAACAATCTAATATAATATGGGAGATACATTGTGTTTTCATGCGATTGACTTGGTTTTTTACAAGTTATTATTTTGATGGCATACGCATTTAGTACATACGTACTGAGCTCGACAGCCCAGGTGGTTAGCGCGTTCGGCTTGCGATCGTGGAAGTTAAGCAACTTTGGCAATGGTCGGTAATTTGATGGGTGACAAAAAAACTTATTATCTCGAGCTCCTGTCGAAGCCTGTGCTCTGCCCCTTCAGTGGGGATATTAATAGGCTAATACTGATAATGTATTGAGTATATTATTTGGAAAAGAAATCAAGAATGATCTCCTCTGCCCCACAATATAAGTTAAATATATAGCATTTCAGACCATTTCAAGGAATTTAACGTTATGTGTTTGTTCCAAAGCTTGACAAATTTTTCTTTTTTTTAAATATGAAGAAATATTTTATCCAAAACCGTTACTATTTCAAAAAATCAACCTCGTGCATATACGTTCTACAATAATATAGTCTATTGAAATAAGAAAAGAGATGTTTTGATATCGGGATCGCCTATATAGGATTTCGTATCTCAAAAGGAAAAAACGAACCCTTATAGGATCACTTTGATGTCCGTCCGTACGTCCGTTCGTCTGTCAAGACCATTTTCGCAGTATCAAACTGAAATTCAAATCTAATACTCAGGTCTACTGACCCTTGGAGCTGTGAAAAAAATCAAACTTCTAAGCCAAAGCAATCAAAAGATACAGCCGTTTATGCCGCAAATTTTCGAAACTCGCACGAGAATCAAAACCTACAGGGTACTTCCCATGAACTTTAGATTAAGATAAGTCTAAGCTAAATTATTTGGAAGAATTTCTCGAAAGCTAGCGGTACCTTTCACGTCACACGGCACACGTCTTACCATGCAACACCTCGGTGTTGCGAAGAGAAGTCATTATTATTCGCTAAAAATATGTTAATTGGACGGTACGAGAACGGAAAAAAGTGTTATTTCAGATGAAACAAAAATAAATATGGTAAATTCCGATGGAAAGCGAAAATGAAAATTATAAATACACAAGGAGTATATGTAGTCAAGCAAGATGACATTAAAGTTTGTGGGGTGTTTTTCGGATGTGGAGTTGGATCCGTTCGGAAGATTGAAGATACAATGGATCAATGGCATTATAAAAAATGTCTTAGAGCACACAATGATTCCCTACTTGGACGATCATTTGCCTGTCACCTGGATCTCTCAGCATGACAATTAGAAACCCTACCAATGGTCCTTGATATTATGTAAAATACTTCGCCGCAATCATTTTTATTTTTCAACGATTTATCATTTATTAGAAAAACAATATAAATCCTATCACACAAGTGCAGTTTCAATATTACATTACGGACAAACATTTAAAATAGTTTTAAGGTATGAACAATAATTGTCAACTAATTAGAAACAACAATAAAAAAGTATAAAAACTTTTTTATACATTTTTTTAAAAAACTTACAAAGTATTAGTAGTTAGTATGGTTATTTACGAAATAGCTACTATCCACAGCCGTGGTCTAATAGGGAAGATGCAATATTTTTATTTTTGTTTTCATTTTAAAGAATTCCATGTAGAATAAACCACAGATATATTAAAAAATTAAAACATTATGATTTATCGGAAAAAATGTGGTTTTAAACCTATGGTTGCGATGACGTCACTCCTGTCTGTCACTGGTCGTAATTGTTCGTTGCTGGCTTTAAATTTTCATTTTTTTGCATATTTTTTCGACTTTCGAAATATATTTTTGAAAAATTTAAAATGGACTATCCATCAACATCATGCGATCATAACAATACCACAAAGTTCCCAAATAAATGGTTTTTGACTGGAACTTCTGACCCAAAACTGAAAAAAAAGTGGTTTCAAGCTGCGAAGAGAAATGAAAATTATTCTCCAAAGACCATTATTCGATGCTGAGAAGATCACTTTGACGTAAGTCAGCGAATATACTTGTTATATGCTTAATTAATCTGCTTGTACGTAAAAACGCATTAGTAACCTACACCTAATACTTACAAAACCTGTCTATAACATATTTTTAATTTTACAGTCGGAGAATAACGTCGAAAATTAGATAATGTTTAAAATGTGTGGCACAATCTTCACATTGGCAGGACTGAACCAAGCTTTGCGTTTCATTTAAAATAACTGTAACACGATAACCTTCTTTACGTACTTTATGCTCCGGAGAACTCGACCTTTTACTGTACATAATTCTCCATCTCTTTTAATTTGGACATAGCCGATTGCATTATCGCCGTAAGATTTGTAGAAGCCGCTGAATAAAATACGAAGTTTTACAACTACGATTTTAACATACCGTAGTAATTTAGTCCCTTTCATTTCAAAAATTCTGCACTTTGGACAAAAAAAGTTATAACCATGTCAACGCTAACTCTTGGTAAATTCCTGGAATCTGCTTCGATAAACGCAACTTCCATTTTTATTAAATGTAAAAAACGCAATAAATATTCCCATAAAATAATATGTACTTTAACAACCATAACCTCAAAGAAGTTGTCATAACAGGAGTGACGTCACTAAACGCTGATTGGTGTTTTAAAATACGTTCCGTTTCAAGTATTTTTAATTCGTAATAATTGTTAAAAAAACAACATTATGTAAAATAAAAACGTTGCAGTGGCATTTCTTTTATATTTTTTTAACATTTAAATCATAAAATTTTCATAAATATTATATATGCATCTTCCCTATTATACGACCACCATATGTATATGTATATATTAAAACATTTTGCCCTAAAATGTCTAAAGTAAAATAGTAAATTTTAATAAGTCAGGATGCTTATATGCTAAAAATATAATACTACTAATATAAACTACTACTAACCTAAACAAAATCAAATCCAGTAGTATAGAATTCTATTTAGTTAGATCAAGGCTATTTCAACAGTCAATATACATTAGATATTCTAGAATAAATCAAATGGTCCCAATAATTGGCCCCAATTCTTAAAGTACCTTTGTTTCTTAATTATGTTTTTATTTAAATAAACTTTTTGATCAGACGGAGTTTTTTTTCACATAAGTTTAAAATGAGTATTTATCGAATTTTTAGTTTTAAATGGAGCTGATTACGAAAACAACATTTTTCTCGAGATCCAAGAATATTATTAATGTTTCAAATTTTGCGACTATGCAGTCCTAATGGCACTGTAGGCACGGAAACTTAAAAGATAGATTTTGTGACTCGCCGACACCTTAAAGCACTTATCTGTATTAACCAGACAGCTTCCATAGAGCTCCAAGTTTCTGGAAATTGAATGTCCTTAAGTTGTAATATATGTCGGCCCAGAAGAATAGTAATAAGGTACCACTTTTGTGGATTACTATAAAATACGCTACTACATATAAAAGAAACTGTGTTTTAAAAACTCTAGTAAAAAAATAAATTAATATAAGTTATGGCGAAAACATTATTTGATTTATCTAAAAAACCTAAAATTCTCTTTAATACAGAACCTTAACAATATAAGTTTTTATCTCCTGGACTATAGAGAAATACAAATTGCAAAATCCATGAACAAACGTTCGTGTGTATATCGTAAACGTTGTTTTTTTTCACGACACGATAATAATCAGGGTGCAACTAAATAAAATCTAGGGCCTCGTGTGATGTCATTTTCCTCTTAATTTGACATTTGAAAGCTATTAAAAAAGTTTGGTAATTAAAAGGTAATAAAAGATCGTGAATGATCGAATATTTGTTTTTTTTTATAAGATCTGTCGATGTATATTTGTTTTATCAACATGCTATTTGTATCGACAAATACACTATTAAATCTGGTTGAATATTTTCCAGTATAAAAAATATCATTCATTCATTTCATTCTTTTTTCGTCACATCACTATGAATTTCTACCTTCGTGATTTCGCGCCTTTTCTTTTAATTGAATTTTATACCAGAATAATAACTTTTTAGAACCTAAAAATACTTGTATATGATAGAAAACATCATGTTGCAGCAAGATTGAAGTGGCAGATCGGTTTTTGCGTGGGAAAACAACATCATTTTCCATTTTTGTGGGAGCTCCGACTCACGCTGCGGAACGATCTAAAGTGGTAGCGGTCTCGCGTGAACTAGTTTTATATAACGATCATGGCCACTGGCCATGATCGTTTTGGCGGAGGGGTACGCCCGTCCATGCTCTCTCCAGGTATAAATGCTCTAAGTATGTAACACCTTAACTAAAGCGTTGATAAATAAAGACTGGTCGGATATCAACTAAACGATATCACGAGAACTACAAAACAGTTTAGTCGATGCAAAAGTTCTATGTATGCGCTAGCCCTTATTTGATTTACGAGAGCGAGACATTTTTTTTAGTGTTGTCTGTGTTGTCAGTATTCTGTGAATTTCTGTGGTGTTGTCGGCAGACGTAGGGCGGTGGGCTAATATTGTACCTAATTTTTTACTTGTATTTTATTAATAAACGGAACGCAAAATCTGTAGGTAAGTATTAAAATTTACTTTATGATGTCCACTAAAATCCTCATGGGATTAAAACCTATAAATATTTCTAATAACCAAGTCCTATTTATACTATAAAAAAACAAACATCCACTTTCAGATGCCAAAAATTATTCATTGTGTATAGGTATAGGTAGCTTTAAACTATCTTTTATAGTTATGTATATCTGGCCTGATTTTTAAATAGCTCAATCGGCGCCTATTGGGTGCGATTTAAGCACTTGTTTAATTTAACTCGAAGGCTAGCCATTATTATTTTGGCTTTACACTGTTTGCAGTTTAAGGTAGACATAATAAGTTTTGATATTGACTTTAAAAACTTAAAACTTGTTGGAAACTAATTTTAGTTTTTAAATTGAATATCTTTTAACTTTATTAATAAAAACTCTTTAGTATTTACTAATTATTTATTTACATGTTTGAAGTTCATTTTGTTAAAGGTTTTTCCATTTCAATATTTATGGTGTTTACACATAAACATCATAAATATTTTTATCATATCATATATTGGCCACAGGCCAATACTAAGGATAATACTGAGTAATTTATATGAATAATTAACTTTATTTTCTGCCATTACAAATACAAAAATGTATCTGTACTCATCAAGGAATGGAAGACACAATTTCAAAATAGGTTGACTCTATTTTAAGGAATCTTCTGGCCTCCACCTCGCCATTAAATCTTGAGTAATAACAAAGAGGATCACTTTGGAAGATAGTAAAATATCTTCAATTTTTACACATTAAAATACCTATATACATATATACACTATACATCCTTGCAAACTTCTTGAGCCAAGACATTGACAAGGAAGCCTGCGCGGTAGCAATTTTACATAACAAAAATAAGTGCAAGTTATTTGTCTGTGGGTTCAGTCAAGAAGTTTTTTGCCATTGAAGGATAGGATGTTACTTTTAAGTTTAGGGTTTAAAAAAAAATTTGAAATGCTTAATGGAAACCTAATTCACCTGGTTTTTTCCAATTTTGGATACATATATAAAATTACACAAGCCTGTGTACTTTTTGCAGTAACACAAACATTCACAGACACAGATTACAATATTGCTCTTTCTCTAAGCATTTATGTTTTTAGCTAATTATCAGTATCGCTATAATTTAAGCATAGAAGGTATGTCATAGCATATTATACAATTTTATTTATTAGATTATACAGTCAGGCACCACTGTATGGGAAAAACTTTTGTGCAAATGCTGTTCTGATAATTGTAGTGGAGCACACTTTGTAATGTCTTCTGCCTTCATCTCTTTTTGTACCCTAATAATTATGTTCAGAATAGATAAAATGTTTTCTTATTGAATTTAAATTTTGTTCTTCTTTCCTGCATATTTTTATATTAAATCCAAAAACTGAGTTTATAAAAACAAAACCACTAAAAAGTAAGGAGTAAGGGTGCGGCCAGAGTGCACTCAGATTCAGATTCCGAAAACAAGCGCGAGAAATAAACAGTGTAGTCGAAGGGTACGGCCAGAGTGCACTCCTGATTCAGATTCAGACTCAGAAAACAAAGCGCGAGAAAAAGCAGGCAGTCTGCTTAGACTACACTGTTTATTTCTCGTGCTTGTTTTCAGAATCTGAATCTGAGTGCACTCTGGCCGCACCCTAATGCTATATTCTTTACTTTTGATATCTACATTTAAAGTCAAATTAACATTTGGAGTTGGTGCCATGCAAATTGGTAGATCTGAGTTGCCATGTACTGCTTGGGTTGGCATTAGGGATTGCAATATTGGACCTCTTGAGAATTATGAATATCAAATTTTATATTTATATTATATATATTTTCAGTATTCTCTATACTGAATGTATGTTTAGAAGCAATTTTACTCACCTATTTATTAATAATTATATATACATACATATATATATATACATATATATATATATTTCTTTTTGATGTCTCTTCTCTTAATCTTAAGAAAATTTTACGTGTAGTGCGGATTTGAGTCTGCTGAATGCTGCCTGGTCCGTGTGGTATTTATTAATAAGTCATTTAATTCAAAATGTTTACTTGAGCGCACATTTTCAATCATACAGATGTAAAAAAATTAACTTTACATTTTATTCAATTGCTTCCCAAATGAAGAGAAATTAGCGAAAGGAATTCTTATTATTACCCTACATGGCCACATATTGACCTCTCAACTGACGATTACCATCATTATGCATATTTGCAGTTGGTAAATTAACCACGACGGAGCGCCGCGCCGCATAGTATTTTTTCAAATGTTATTGTGTTGGCAAATTAGTATTTGGCCTGCCTGATGGTAAGCGGCCTACATATCACATTGACACCTACGATACCAGACTATCACTTGGACCTTGACCTACATTGATTCCATACAACACCACACATAAAGAAGTGTTATTTCACTGTGTGCCTTCTGTAAGGTTTAGGCTACTTTTCAAAATGAGTGCTCCAATTCGAGCGGCAAAGCAGCTATGTCTATGCTCAACGCATATCTTTTAATTAATAATTTTACGATCCCTCTGATGAATGAACTATTAACATACACCTACAAGTGTACAAAACCTTTGTTGCGCTAGTTCGAATCACAGTTGACAAGTCTTTCTTTTCATAAAATATGAGAAAATGGATTATAACAATATTAAGCTACTTGCACCAACATTCTTGAAAGAAATTAAATACAATCTTTTATCTACTTATTTTATATCTATCAACTTTAAATTGTTATCAAAGATACAGTGATGCTGTAAAAAAGTGCCAAGTTACAATAACTATAATACATAACTACCTACCTTGTTCAATTCAATTTCTTCTGTGATGGCTGGCTCCTTAGAGATTATTATAGAAACATGGAAATATGAAAAACCAATTTTTGCACAACTCATACCTATGCAAAGAATGCAATAATAACTACAAATGTGCAAATTTTCAGGATAAAATGTCTCATAAAGCAACACCATACTCTCCAAATTTTCCGGCATCTCAAGGCTATGAACCACCACCTGAACGCAAGCAAGAAGCTTACCCAATGAGTCCCCAAACCGGATACCCACATCTTCCCCCGGGGCCAGTGCCGCCCCCTGGACCACCATTACCACCTGGTGCTCAGCCACTACCTGGAATGCAGCCAGGCTTCCAGCCGGGATTCCAGCCTGGGTACCAGCCAGGCTATCAGCCTGGTTTCGCTCCAGGCTACCCTCATCCGCAACCTGGCTATGCTGTCGTCCATCAACCAATTCCTCAAACACAACCAGGTAATTAATTTTATTCTAGAAAATGTTGTCACTGGAGATTTATTTGCAATTATAATTATTAGGTCCTTGAGAAATTGGCATTTTATATAAAAAAAACCAAATGAATAACAAATACCTGTGCTAAAGAAAAATATTTAATAACGAGGATAAAAAAGGTGGTTTTGACTGCCACTTTCCATGCGAGCAATTGACCTAATTTCTGAAAAAGTAGTAAATAATCCAAATTTTCCATAGCTTTGGAACTAAAAGCTACACCATTAAAACTGTTTCGGTCGCGCTGGTGTCACGCACAATCACTAATGACGATGGAAATCTCATTCTTAATTAATTTTTCATATTGCGAAAAAATAAAACATGATAAAGACAAATTAAATGGCGCAAAAACAAATATTTTATTTTATACTAGCTGACCCAGCAAACTTGTACAGCCATAAAAATAAGGGCTGGTGAGTGGTAGAAGTGTTGAAACTTAGGGTTGTATGTATGTTTTAACGCCACATTATAAAAAATAATGTGTCCATAAAATAAAATAAAAATGTTAGGGGTGGAAAACCGTTATCACCTAGGGGTATGAAAAATAGATAGTAGCCGATTCTCAGACTTACTGAATATGCATGTAAAATTTCATAAAAACCGGTTAAGCCGTTTCGGAGGAGTATGATAACGTACATTGTGAAACGAGAATTTTATAGGTATAAGTATTAGATTATGTTTCCGGCCGCGACTTCGTCCCTTTTAGATAGGCACAACATTTTTATTCCATAAGAACAATCTCTCAACTAATTACGTGAACAAGGGAAATATGGTATATTTTTTTTATTTAAAGATAAAATATTTTTTTCATATTAATGTTACCATTATTTATTGTTCTCTTAAAAGTCTTTAACATTGCAATGTAGTCTACTTAATTGCGTTTTGTCCATTTCTAAGGGTGATAAGGTGGTGGATACTTTGTTTGTTGTCATTGCTGATAAGGAATGTCGTTTCGAGTTGTAAACATTCGAAGTTACGGTCGACGACTTTTCAAGTTAGCAAAACAATAAATTAATTTTAATTAACTAGCTTTTATGTGCGACTTTGCCTGCATAAACTTTAGGATTCTTAAATAACCATTTGTGCACTTGTAAATTAAGTGTATTTTATTTATGTAACCAACTTTTTGTAAAATATTGTCTGTCAGGGACTGCAAAATTCGGATGGTGTTTCACTATGATTCAAGTATTATGGGCAATGTTATGAAAAATATCGATATTTTTCATATCGTTGACTATGGTGGTTGTTGGCTTGGTAGTTTTAAGATGTTTAGTTAGTCTGTGACATTATTTTAGTTATCTGCAGTATGTAAATATGTATTGAGTATTCAAATATCGATCCTCGCTTACCATAGAATACTCAATCACGCAATAATATAAACCCATTTTGTTTTAAACGATAAGAGTAAAGAAACAGTTATGTTTTTAATTAAACAATAATTGGTTAAATACTTTATAATTTTCTTACTTATTTAGATAAGAGTTTATTATATATGTTACCGGCAATGTGTATAAACCGGTATTCTATACAATACCTAGGTAAACTTCATAATACCTAAAACATCAAAATAATGCATACAATATTATTCATTTATACTTTGCCTCGATATTCTATACAATGCCAAATGCAAAGTCAGCAGCAATGTGTGTAAAAGTTGATAGCATCTTGTTATCTTGCCCTGTTAGGTATCAGGGCTCTATTTCACCGAATTGACATACCTATTTCATAAAAATGTTAGGCATTGTTTTGTTGCAATTGTCAATTTGCCGTATCTTACTTCAACGACAATTGTGTTGTGAAACAAGGGTGAATTTTTGAAGCCCACATAATAGTCAGTAATTCTTGACATTAAATCGGGGCTGTGTAAGATTTGCGTTACTAATGTAGTGTTTTTGTAGTTAGTTACAAAATGGCTCTCCCCGAAAGCTTGATAATATGAGTTCTTATACGTGAGAATTTATAAAGAACGAATAAATTTCTCCATTAATATCACTGATTTTGTGTTCAAAGAAGAAATACATAATAATAGATCACCCCACAACAAACTACTCTACTTACATTTATGTCAGCGACATATTGTTTTTTTTTTGGCCAGGTAGGGCAAATGACTCTACCCCTCCTGATGTTTAGTGGTCATAAAGTCCAAACGCGAAGATAGCTGGTACAGTAGTTATAAACTGCAACACCAACCATCCTCTCACCTTGCCGGTCTTCAAAAATGCTTCTTCACGCCTCTCTTAAAGGACCCCAGATTGTAGGAAGGAGGGAACAAGTGCGCGGGCAAAGAATTCCGCTTACATTACAAATAGTACGACAAAGAAATGAGTCACCAAATTTCTTTGTTCGTGTAGGAATAATGGCCCCAGTAAGTCGGGATATGAAACAGGGACAGGCGGCTAAGTTTAATTCACATCACTGCCTTTACCTTAACTACTGTGAGTTGGCCAAACGTTCATTGGTCTGTGGTTCATTCGGTGTGAATTATAGAATCCGTCCGTCATTTTTATCCAGCTAGATAGGCTAGATTAAAGAAAGGTTTTCTTAAGGGCAGTTAAATACAGGGTAAAATTATTTCACACATTGCCGATAGGCCAGCAGGTAAGTACTCTATACAATCCCTAGGTATTTTTTTTACCTAGGCAAGTATAGAATGCAATATATTTTTTTATAATATTGCCTAGACGCGCCAGGAATTCTATACATTGCCTAGAATATCTGAATTATACAGATTGCTGGTGACATATACATCTCTTCAGTATTCTTACTGCTTATCACCTCAGACCTCGTTAGGTTCTCCAGTTAGGTGATATCTCAACGAGCCATTATTGTGCATTATTATATCGTACTGTGTTGACGCTTCTACATAGGTATTTGCAACGATATTCAAAGGGCAAGCGCCTTCAGATGGAGGAGAACAATAAAATTAACAACCAAGACCTTATTGATGAAATATTTCAGAACAAAACTAAAAAAAACGAATCCCGAAAGTGGTTGAAACTTAGAAAGTTTTTATTCAAAAAGTGCATGTTCTTAACCAAAAGTGAAATTAGCACAGTTTATGTTCCAACTTTAAACCTAACTAGTGTAAAATATAAAGTTAACAAGCTATACCAGCGTATTTTTCAAACTAGCCACGCCGGTTATGAGAAATTTTATTCGGATGAAGAAAAGAGGTTCATGTGTTGTGCTGTTATAGAACATTATCACTTGGTGGAGGGTCTTGTGTAACACATCCTTGTTACCTGTTATCTGTTACTGTTTATCAGTGATCTCTGTATTTGTATCTCATTATCTAATGTATATAAAGCTCTCTCCGTTTATTATACCTTTATATAATAGCGAATGTTCAATTGCGGCACTAAACTTGTGTAAGTAGTTTCTAGGTATTAAAATAATTTTAAATTGAAATGAATCAATAACGAATTTATTAAGTCATCAGTACCATATTTTTTGCCTTCGATGCGAGTGGGGAATGAATCACTCTGAAACGCATCCGGCTCCTGTGTTTAAATTTTCGCTATTATTTAACTTTATTCTAGCAAATGATATTTGAAGATTTGATTTATTTATAATAAGTACAATTAAATTAAGTTTCATCATATTAGCCGTACGACGTCCACTGCTGAGCATAGGCCTCCCCCAAGGATCTCCACACCACACATCGTCCTGCACCATTCGCATCCATTCAAATTGAGTTTATTTGTCACATACTTAGGATATTGAACTGTTCCAGGTGGTTGGATGACTATTCCGCAAGGCCTCCACAACTGTCCACCAGGTTTGGAATACCTATCCTTGATTGACCACCTTTTGGTGCACCAAAAAGTCGAGCTGCTAGAAGCATTCGTTGGATTTGAAACCAACAACAAATATACTGTAAAGAACAGCGTCGGTCAGAAGGTGTATTATGCGGTAGAAGACAATGATTGTTGTACCAGAAACTGCTGTGGCCCAATGAGACCTTTCGACATGAAGATCTTAGATAACTTTCAAAACGAGGTAATTGCACTATAACTTACATGTTTTTGTTGCAAGTTTTACCAATACCTACGTATAACTGTGACGCATTCGTACAAAATGACAATAGGAAAATATAACTTATTACATACCTATTCAAAACGAAGAACTGGAGTCAATAATATTTTAATTGTAAACGTGTATCTAAAATGTCATCTTATCCGGTCGGGGAATTCCGTTACAAGATTCGACTAAAATATACATACATTGGGAAGTTTAATAAAAGCTTTTAAAAAAGGAAATTAACTTATTGGTGATAGATGAACCACCTTCACCGGCCCCCCCGCGTGCAACTCTTGCTGGCTGCAGAGCATGGAGGTGTCGGCTACATAAAGCAGCAGTGTTCCATCTAATCAAATATAATATCAAATGAACATTTAATAGCCATATTTTGGGTGTACACGATAAAGTACAAGTCCGCCATCGTAGACCTTCTTCCATTACTATACTATATTTAGAATGACGTCACTTAGCTAACCATGTATTGTCATCCGAACTAAACATGTAGGTATGTAAAATTACATCTCAACCGGTTGAGGATGACTGCTTTAAAATTTCGTTGCAATGACCGATTACCAAAGAGGGTTTAGTTTGAGTCTCATTTCGTACTCGCATATTAGTACAACAGCAATGGCGTACATCCTGCTTCGTTATTAAAACAAAGAGTAGAGCACTTTATGAGCGGCTATAGTATAAAAAATATTGATAGGTGATCCACCTACACCGGCCGCTCGCGTGCGATTCTTGCTGTTGTCCGTGCTGGCTGCAGAGCATGGAGGTGTCGGCGCCGCCCGGCACCGTCGTCGGCTCCATAGAGCAGACGTGGTCTATCTGCAAGCCGTGCTATGACGTCAAGAACGCGGCCGGAGATGTCGTGCTCAAGATCAAGGGACCGTTCTGCACGTACTCAATTTGCGGGGACATCGAATTCAATGTGAGTTTCAACTGTTTTATCAATATTTACACTGTAACAATGTAATATTGTGTTTATATTATTACATTTAATACCAGCATTTTACTTGGTTATTCGTATTTGTTATTTGTAAACTAGACAACAGGTTTTTTTATAGCTAGGTAAGCAAATTACTCTATGCCACCTGATGTTAAGTGGTGATAAAGACCGAACGCGAAGTTAGCTGGTGTAGCAGTTATAAACTACCACACCAACTATCCTCACCTTGCCAGCCTGCAGAAATGCTTCATCACGCCTCTCTTAAAGGACCCCAGATTGTAGGAAGGGGGGAACACGTGCGCGGGCAAAGAATTTCACTTGCGAATAGTACAACAAAGAAATTAATCACCAAAGGACATGGTAAAATGTTGTTTGAGCGACTTTCCTAGCAGTGTATAAATATTGTACTTAGTTTTTTTTTTTTTTTTTAATGCTGAATGGCTGAATAATGCGGGCAACCCTCCGCTGCAACCTATCCAAGGCATCGAGTAAATACTTAGCGGAGCCATCCCAGAGGCGCGAGCAATATTCCACGCTGGACCCCACTTGCGTTTTGTACAACAAGCACAGTTCATCAGGCGTGAAAAAACGCCGCCCCTTGTTCAGGACTCCCGAGTTTTCGTGAAGCTGGTTTGATCACGGCTTTGATATAGTCCTTTCAATTCAGGTCTGAGCGAACTTCCATACCGAGCATGGTGATGTTTTTCTGTGGCGCCAGTGTTGTGCCCTGAAGAGAGGGGAGGGGAAGGAATCGCGAAGTTTTTGCCGTGAAAGAACAAACCTGAGTTTTCGAACTCAATCAAGTTCCTGGTACCCCATTCGGAAATGTGGTCTAAATCCTGATTAAGTTCAGTGACAAGATTCTCCCGCTTTCCTTGATTTCTTCCTGTCCAACCGCTGCGTGTAAAGTATTCTGCATGCACTGTACTATCGTCTGCATAGAAAGAGTGTGGGGCATAGGTCGGAGCCCTGAGGAATACCGGTATTTACTGGCATGAACAACGAACTACATCCATCCTAAGGACGCGAATTCTACGTTCATACAGAAAGCCAGGCACCCGAGGCTGCGGAGAGAGCCCGTGAGGAACAGGCCCTCGCGGGCTCTCTTCGCAGCAGAAGGGAAAGAAGGGGAAGAGGTAGGCGCAGTATAGCTCATCTCCTGCCACCCTGACATAGGGGGAGGCACTATACAGGGTATGGGAGAGAAGAAATTATATCAGAATATCGCAAGACTGAGGAACGCAAGCATCCTGCTTCTATTGCGCCGTTATTATCGTAACATTGTGTAACTTTGTAGCAGTCCTAACTCCTAATACATAATGTACTAAATATATATTTCGCAATAACGCACCCCCGGTATTATCGACCGATAATCACGTGCCTATGGGCGAGAACCCTCAACGGTGTAAGGTAATTTTTCGCCCGTATTTCTACACAACTAAAATAACAGACTTTCCACGGCTAATAAATATAACGGGTGATATAGAAATAATGTAGATATATAAAGAAAATATAACTAAAAAAAATCCACGCGGACCAGGCAGCAGACGGGACTCGAACCCGCACTCTTCGCAATCCGGGCGAATGCACTGACCAATTATGCTACCGCGGCCCTCACGGACCGCGTCGAAATTCTTCTAGCCATTCTTAAGCTGCAAGGCAGCGCCATCTCTTCGCATTATAGGTAACCCACAATGTCAAATGAATATTTTTACAAGTATTAAACATTTGAAAGAAGAAATAGCAATTATAGTTATAATTTTTATTTTTAAAGCATGTAACTGCTTGATGTTTAAATCTAAAGAAAATATAACTAGAAAAAATTAAGTGCAGGTTCGAGTCCCGTCTGCTGCCTGGTCCGCGTGGTTTTTTTTCTAGTTATATTTTCTTTAGATTTAAACATCAAGCAGTTACATGCTTTAAAAAATAAAAATTATGTATAAATAATGTTGATTTGGCAGAACCTTTTTTTTTTACAATAAATTAGTCCTCAATTTGGATGATCAAGAAATTTGTTACTTTACTGTCTTGTGTAACCATTAGCACTTCGATGACATTACCAATATAATTAATCAACTGATTATATTATTGGGTCCGTGTTTAATAATAACCGTAAACTGGATTCAAATTCACAATATCCTTTTCAGGTATACTCAAAAGATGGTGAAACAAAGGTTGGAAAAATCACAAAGCAGTGGTCCGGTTTTGCTAGGGAAGCATTCACAGATGCCGATTATTTCGGCATTTCCTTCCCGATGGATTTAGATGTGAAGATAAAGGCAGTTCTCTTAGGAGCTTGCTTTTTGATTGTAAGTTACGTCCTTATTTTTACCTAACTGCGCGATAAGGAGGTTTATATGTTTTTCGAGTATATACATATCCATAACTTTATTTATTCGGCATCCTGTGTAACATAAACGACTTGATGGTTTGTAGCTTGTTAGTTAAATTTTTAGGGTTTCATAGTCCTGACAAAGAACCCTTATAGTTACGTCATGTCCGCCTGTCTGTCTGTGCGTCCATCCTTAGTTTTGCTTGGAGACATTTGGCACTAGAGAGCTGTAATTTAGTGGAGGTATGTATACCAATCACGCCGACAAAATGGTAGAATAAATAAAATAGTGGGGTTACTTATTTAATTGTAAGTGTACCCCATAGTATGGTATCGTTGAATAGGTCCTTCAAAATAACTTAGCTAAGATATTTTTCGATTTAGGGATCCGTTTGAAGCGCGCCTCCTACCATCGAGAAGCTAAACTATTGCTTGAAAAATCTGTAAAAAGATTATGATAATAGTGCTTTTTATGAAACCCTCCCTCTCACAAATGTGACCAGCTGTGACAAGGACGGGGGGAGGGGCACGTCATGAAATTCATGTGACGTAATTTATGGATGACCCATAACGGTTAGGATATATCAGTTAGTTTAAGAGATGGTAATAGTCGTTCAACTTTAAAAACAAAATGAAAATTTCTTAGCTAAAAAAAAACCGTAGCAGAACTCATTAAAAGTGACTTAGATGAAGTAACTCCTTGTTTATAACGCGTAGAACCTTGTATTGAAAAACAAAATCTAACAGCTATTTAATTAACCACAATTAAATATCTACGGAACCCTAAACTGCGCGTGGCACACGTAGTTGGCCGGTTTTTCATATTTGTGGGGTAATTGACCGGGTCAATTAAGTTTTTTTTTTTATTTAAAAATTTATATACTTGGTTGTTTTTTATCGCTTTAATGTATTTTCGAAAAAATATTTTTTCTAAGCCTTTTCCATTAGGGTATCAAAATAAAAACGGTTTTTTAAATGTCTTCTAAAAATGTATACAGATATGTATATTTTCAAGAGCAGCATTTTTTTTAATACAAAAAAATATTCATCCTTTAAAAATTAAGGCGTACAAACAGAACAAACATTTCACCTTTGGCAACTATGGACTACATCTACTTTAAGTAAAATTTAGATTAGTGGGATTTAGTCCCACTTACAGCAAATTCTCTTCTCTTTGATATTATATTATTCAACTATAATAAGATTTAACCCATGGAAAAACGTCATTGTCAATTTGACATTATTGTATAGACTATTCTTGCTTTAGTAAAATCGAGATTTATCAAATTTACTGCAAGTGGCCGATAGCGATATGTCGGGAAGTGTATATTAATGATTGTGTACTTATAAAATTCTTAACTCCAACTTCCTATAGCTTAGGATAAATGAATATAATTATTATCAATTTTCAGGATTTCATGTTCTTCGAAAAGTCTGGCAATAAGGAGTCTGACGGTCCTGGCATGCTGTAAATGCAAAATAATTTTTGAAAGGTATTTTTCTATGATATTTTACTTTGTTAGTAGTTTTCCCATAACTTATGGTATAATAAAAAATCGGCACAATTGTTTTGATATTTTTAGGTTATTGTTAATCTTGTTGTACTATGATGAAATAGCACATACTTAATTACATTTACTTATGCATTTAATCATCATAGAGATATAATACTAAGTTTTAGGCTTAGATCATGATCTAAGTTGGAGTTTACGATATATTAACACTAAGTAGCTATTTATAGAGTTATACTCATTATACCGAGTTCCTCAATCGAAATATAACAATTAACTACGAATATAGTTCAAATAGGTAGGTAATACTTGTGCTTAACCTATTTCGATCTCGTCACTTTCAAAATTGATCTGTTACTTATTATCATATTTTAATAGTGATCATTATATTATATTATTTATTTACAAAAGGTTTGCTATTAGTATTGTGTTGTTGTGTAACAGTGGCACTTTAAATGGCTATTAGAAGTTTGCATATTTTTGTTTAATTTATTTGGCAAAAAACTACCAACAATCCATTAGCACAAACAAACCGGTACACGATCCACTGCACGTGGCGCCCAATAGCAATAAAATTAATATCAATCTGACTTAAAATAAAAAATCAATTATATTTGGCAGCCCAAGTGTTCAAGGATATTGAAAAAAAATTGAGGCAGGTTAAATAACCAATGAAAGTTACCTCAACTATTCTAGTCGCATGCACACGCATTTGTGAATGGCCAATAGTATTTGCGTATTTTTCTATGTGACTTTTTTGTATAAAAGTCTGTGCTTCAATGACCTTTTTGCTTTTGACCTTAAATTATCAAATGGGCAAATAAAGCCAATATATTGGCAACTATAATGTCCAAACATATAATTGCTACTTATTAATCCCAATAAAGTAAATACGAATGAATAGCTATTTGAATTGCCACCATAAGGATCCTTTATATTTTTTTGTCTGTAAACATTACCAATATTTTCCAATTTCATACTATTGACATAATTATGTTCGATTCTTGCGTTATACTGTCCATTAATATATATACAGGTTGTACAGAACAATATGCTAGTTGACTCATGTCAAATTGCACTATACAAATGTTTATTTATTTCTTATAATTTTTGGTATGAGGAAACTAAATACATCGATTTCACTTCATAAAATTAGAAGATGGCTGTAGTAATTTGATTTGAAAAATAGTTTTTTAGTCTATGCTTTTTAAACACTAAAAACGCTGTCAACCATGATTGTGACATCAACATAATAGCAAAACAACTAAACGTCATTGTCGTGTTACTGTGGTTTCTTTAGTCCGACTAAAATATACCTAAAAACTCTTATATCTTGAGGAAAAGTTTCCGTTTATTGGTTTTCTTGACTAAATTAATGCTGGACGCCGGATTTTTGAAAGCAGGAACGACAAAACTCTTTGACTTATCAGGTACATTCATAACCTTAAAAATTGAAACCACAACAATTCTGGAGTTTTGAACGATGTGTTTATTCTCGTATAATACAATCATGATAATTACTATATTTATCATGAAATCTATTAGAAATCATGGTTTTGTAATGTAAATTCAGATAGGTTATTTATATCCTACGTGCTTGCGAGTGTTTGTTTACTTCCCGTCATACCATAGATAATCTATAGACTAAAATGGCCGACAGCGTTTTTGTATGTCCATGAAAAATCTATTTTAAAATTAAAGTTTTGTAGCTTTCTAGGAAAAAAAAATACATTTTCTTTCGGTCTAATTGAACAATTATTAACCATTTAAAACAAATTTCCAAAAAAAGTCAACTAGCCTATTGGTCATCTGATTAAATTAAATGGAATATTGTACAATATAAATAAGTACATTCCTCAACTATAATTAATTACGATTGAACATACTGATAAAGTACTATTTGACTTGCGGGCCAATTCGTTAATAGTACTACATTAATTGTTAAAGTTATTTAAATGCAGTTAAAGTAACTTAATGTTGAAACTTTACATGTCATAAAAACATATTCATGCCATTTCACTGGCTGTCCCAGTGTTATGTACATCCTGTATATTTAATTTAGTGGAATGAGGCAAATAATAATATGAGGCTAGTTTTATTTGTTATACATTTATGGTCTTACTACAAGAAAGTTAGACACAGTTTCAAAACTCGTGTTGACAGATGTCTATCTTTTTTGGGGTAATAAAATAAATAACTATCCCCTCGCTTGGCTTCTATGTAGACTATAGTTTATGGTTAGTGAAAAACCGTTCAGTAGTTTTACAGACATACATAATCTAAACTATGGATAAATTTTTACTTTGATAGGTTTTTGTGGATACACTTTATAACATTTTATTTACAAGGTAAGTACATTTAGTAATAAACCCTTTGTACCAAAATATTATAACCGTTTATATAAAAGTGAATATTATGAATGAGTCTCGTTACACGAAAGATAATGTGGAATTACAATCACATTATAATTATGAAGTACGTAATCTAAAATGCAACATAACATGTATGATTTCCATCGGCTGGCATGTGAGTACCCATGTAGTGTATAGCCTTGTTAATACATATTGTAATATTATATATGAACTTCTTACAAGTGTTATTAAGGAATTCACTCGCATTAAATTATTCTTCCAATCAATCACTTGTTTGTAGTTTGCCCATATTACATTCCTTGGAATAACTTTTCTTGGTGCAGTCGTCTTAACTATTTTTTTCTCAAGCATGCTTGGAAATGTAAACATTATTTTGACAACCTTCTTCGAGATAAATCGAAATTGCTGTACTGGCCACATACGTGCGAGCAGCGGCCGGCCAAAGTTCTATGAAAATCCATATTTGTCGTCAGTGCCGTCTTTGACCTATTGGAGGCCCTGGACATATTAGGATAATGGGGCCCCTATGACTTCCGTTTGGTGATTTGACAGGAACTAGGGACTTTGTATTTGATCTGAGGGGGCCCCCTATCGATCGCTGGGCCCTGGGCACTTGCCCAAAGTACCCAATGGGAAAGACGGGTTTGACTGTAGTGTTTAGAAGCCAAATACATAACATGTAAACTCATATTTATATTAGTATTTTAAAATAAAAAGCACTTCCTTCCTTCCCTTCTGCTGCTCTCCAAAGCTAAAAACAATCTTAAAAAGGTTAACTTATCTTAAAGAAGTTCATGTTCTACGTCGCTATTTAGAAAAGATTTTAGTTACCTATTAATGTTAATTTATAATGTTTTGTCTCGCTCAGTGAGATCTATGCCAGCCTATGGAAATCTTAGAATAGTGTCCCTATGTAGTAGGCTTAATACTGGCATGATTTTGTAAATCTTAGCAATTTGTGACTACAGTATGTATGTAGTCGTATTTATCCTTGACATTGTATATGGAATGAAAGGAAGAAATAAAGTTTATTGATCTATGTCAGAATTAGGGCAACTAGTTAAAAGGACAATGGCGAACTCCCATATAAATTTTTGGTGAAATTTTTTTTTGCGTCTATGTATGAATTGCATCTTAAATTATAGAGTTTAGATTCTCGATTTGATTCGTCTTATTTCTATTCTTATAGGAAGTCTGGATTTATAGATATTCTACTTTGAAGTTTTGGAGGTTATGTCATACTAAGTAATACAAAAACGAATTATTAAAGTATTTTCAAGAGTATTTTTATATCAAAATAAAAAAACGTGACCGGAACTATAAAAGAATACGTTTCCTGTAGATTAGTGACGAAAAAAAAGTGTTTCTTATAATGTATGATCAGTGGGCGTAGGTACTTACTGACGAACCGCGTCAAAATACTTAAAACTAAACAGACCAGGGTTATTTAGTTCGAATACAATGTCTGTGCTGTAAGAAGTACTTAACAATTTGAAAATGACCACAGCAATAATAAAGTATAAAAAAGGATTTCTAATAGTGTAATGATGGGATATTAATTAAATATGAAACACTTTTTTATATATTTTTTATTCCATATCTTTGATCACAATATCGTAGATAGTAGATACAATGAAATAAAATACACAGCATGGGACGGAATCGTGTCCAAAATCCACAGCAAGAAGTCGTCCGAAATATCAGATTCGAAAGTCTTAAGGCAAGCACTACTCAACAGTCGCAGGGAAGATTTCGAGAGTCCAAATGCAGTCCAAGTCACATAAAAACACAAATCACAAAAAAAACACAATGCGCCGATTTAAATCGTTGCAATACGCATGCACATAAGCACAAGCAACGATAATGATAACAATATCAACAACAATTCGATGACAAGCATGACAGTGACAGTTAGTTTTTTGCGTTAGAATTGTCGCCATCCCCTTTCTGTATTGTGGAGATTATTTATTATGGTTTCAGTATAATATTGAAAAATAATGTTTCCCCATATTTTTGATAGATAATTAAATACAGTTTAAGCGTAAAGCGATGCAAAACATACGAACAACATATTTAAAGTTGATTGCATCACTAAAATCACTTAAAATAAATGGCTTAAAAGCCATGATGCCAAGCCACAATAAAAATAAAAAATAAATAGTCAATTGTGTTTCCCTTTTTTAAGTTTTTAATTCCAGACTTGAGACAACCCTCCTGAATTGTTTGATAAATCTTTTGAGATTATTTTATTAACATTTCTGATAATGACATCTATAGACGCTAAAGATTTACTTCAACAAATATTTCGCCATTGTCCTTTCCACTATAAATATTAAAATTAATTATATGTAATGTAAAATTGCTTGTGATAACATCAGTCTGGTCTTAGGCTGGTTTCACAGCTATCCGGAAGACCCGTACGGGCTGTCCGTGCGCGAAAGAGCCGTACGGGTCACGCCCGCAGTGCTCTGGAACGTGGGTTCAGTACGATACGGTTACTAACGGGAGACAGACGGTTATAAAATGAATGCAAACGTTTTAAAAATTATTTATTATTTCAACAACCTATGTCTGCATTTGATTATCAGACTCTGTATCTATTATTAATATTAAAATTGAAAAAGAATATATCAATCTATCGATTTTAAAGCATACCTATATTGGATATCATGATAGACGCTACCAACTTTTTTTTTAATAGAATTAAACTTATACTCACCAAGGTTTGGTTTTTCTTCTTGAGGCACACCTTCAAACATCTCATCACAAATATCCTCCCACGCCCGAGCCCGAGCATCTTTGTTTTTATAATTTACATTTGAGTGATCCCATAAACAGGGTTTACATTGTACTGCGTCTATGAGAAATCCCGGAGCACGGGCGTTCTGCGTCGCTGTGAAACGATGAATGAGCTGCGAATAGATGGTGGCAGTATGCGGGCGGGTCTACCCGCAGCTGACCGCGTGCGTACCAATCCGCGTCCCTGTGAAACGATGTTCTAGCGCCTAACATGTGCTCCCGCTCCGGGCGCCCGCACTGACAGCCCGTACGGGTCACCCGGATAGCTGTGAAACCAGCCTTAAATTTTATGCGGTTTAAGAATTTACCATATGCTAGTAATATTTTAATATCTCTTGTAAAACTGATCGAATATATTGTCTTATATCGTCCTTCTGTTAAACGAAACAAGAAATTATTATATTTGTGAGTTCAGAACTCGCTAAACATACTCACCAAAAAGTTTAAGCAACATGTTATAAGGTTCTGAAATTTTAAGTATAGTAGTATTTACATACGTTGTATTCGTACGTATGTAAACAACAACAACACAATGTATAGCGTGTACACACGTGTAGTACAACGTGTAGCCGCAACGAGAGAGCGTACTTAATGCAAGTCAGGCAATAACCTGACTTTCGTGTTGCCAAACTAGAAGCGTGTATGACGTAGAGGTATCTATAACTATAAAACCATCATAGATTGTAATATATTTATACTATACTATTAAAAACAATCGAAAAGATAACATTTTTTAAAATCGGTATTTTTTTGAGAACAAAATAAAAAGATTATATAGCTTAGAAAAACATTTAACATGAATTAATAAGGCATACAGTTTCTGTAAATGTTACGTGTTGCTTTGACTTTTTTGATGTGTGTAATTTGAATTAACTTAAATATTGATCTTATACTTACATTAAAATAAAAATGACCTTTGATAACTGTGCCTATGCTTTTATTAGTGCTTTAAAACTCACTGTATAAGTAGTCATAGATTTTTTTACTTATATATGAATCTCTTTTTTAAAATATACACCATTAATGTCCACATTTAATATGAAGTATGTCAAATCGAGATGTTCTAACGTTATTAAAAGGTAAAGATAGGTCATTATGTACATCATGAATTATGATGTACATAATGACCTGTCTTTACCATGAAGTTCTATTAAAACGATTGCATAGCATTTTATTGTTTTACTTGGTACGAATATGCTATATGACCGTTTATTACATAGTTATGACATTAAGTGTCGTTGTTACTATTCTATTTATATGTATTTTTGCAATTGATATTGTTTAAATGGTGCTATTTATTTTTAATACACATATTACCTGATAGATACCATACTGTTTTTTTTCTTTTAAAGTCAATTTTTTTATATTGGCCTTTGATGCTATAAAATAAACAGTCGCAGAACAATGTTACATAATTGTTTTTAAGCCTCGGTCAGACATTGTTGTGCAGTTAAAAAGACCCTGCTCATTTTTTTAATGCGACTCATCGAATGGCCGCTAAGTTAATGTTTCCTGAAAAACTTTATGTCGCTTACCAGTGGCGTAGCGTAGTGGGGGCGGCAGGGGGGCCGCAAAATTTTACAATAACTAATAAAAATATTTCATCCATTTAATAAGAGGACGGCAAAATTGTCCTTCGCCCCGGGCGGCCGACACCCACGCTACGCCGGTGTCACTTACTTCGTTGTATGAACATACAATTCATTGCATTGAAAATGGCTAAGCTGTTTCACGAGAAAAATAGTTTTTATCAACGATTAGTCCTTAAAGGCTAATTTACGCCGAGGGAATCCTATGCGTGCCACAAGCCCGCATGTTACAATAATTTAAAATGTCGCAAATTACGACAGGAAGCGTGTGGAATGGCAACGCATTGCGTCAATTGGCAAATTGTATCCGAACACGATGGATTAACATACGACTTTTTTGTTGCGACAAGTTTGTAGGTTATATTTTGCTTGTATTTGATTTTTAAATCGAGAATTATATCGGTCATGGAGTGGTGTAATGAATATTAAATTATTAAAATATTTAAACTTCATTGAGGATTGGAGGAAAAGTGGAGTGTGTGGGATATCTTCAATTCAAATTATAAAAATAACAGAGTGAAACGTGATGTTTTACTTGGTATTGTACAAAAATACAATTCAAAAACTTCAGAAGCGCATTAAATCATAACAACAATTTCTTGAAATTGATCTAGGTACAATGTTGCCTGGGCGAAGAATAGATTGCAGCATGTCGCAAACGCCACAAAAGGTTTTCATTTAAGCATACCACCAGCTGACCCATGCCACAATATGTAGCATGAACCACTGGCACATGTTTTTGCTTCGGCGTAAACCAGCCTTTACGAAAATCTGCACCGAATCCTTTGATTTTCATCATTCATTTTAACTATTAACGGTTACTCTATAAAACTGGTTAGCTCATTTAGCATTTGTATATAAATTATTAGATAAGTTTTATATAATGTTTTAATGTAACAACCGTTTGTTGTCCTAAATAAATAAACAAGTGCTAACTTGTAATTGCAAAAAAGCAGGGAGAATATAGGAGTTAACAGTTTCAGTTGATATACTGTGCTTAAGTATAAAAGGTAAAATAAGCTACAATACAGATAATACTATTTTTCAATACAGCAAAGTGGCTAAGCTATTTTTAAACGCATTGTATTTTTAATTCGAATACGTTATTTCAGTTGATGACTTACTTGTTTTTCTACAATTTATATTACAATGATTATAAAAATCTCATATCTTTTAACTGTGCTTCTTCGATTATACTGTAGTAATTTGATAATAAATGCAAATTCTTATAAAATTAATTTATTTTCATTTTGTTTTGTGGATCAGGGTTACCTTAAAAAACATACTTACTTCGCAGTCAAAACTCATACTTAATAACGTAACCAAAGATTTCACCAATATTGTTATTAAAAAGTGGTACTTAATGCCTCAAACACAGTCTCTGTAATCAATCTGCGAAACCTTTTTATCTAAATAAAATTCTCGAATTTAAGATTGCTAGACAGTTGAAATTTTTGACAAATATAATAAATATTTAGGGGGGATTTTTTGCTCTATATTAATAACGGCAACAGGTAGACGCTTGAAACATTCATAAATTATTTAGTTGTATATTCGCTTCAAAATAATGTATAATTTAATTTAAAAAATAAAGTAAAAATTCGAGGGGGGCTCCTATACAACAGACGTAGGTAATCGTTTTTCCATACAACAAGCTACCTGTCATCCTGTCGGTCACTAATAGGCTGTTGATAAAACGTAGTGATTGATTACTTTTTCTATGTTAATGATGATGATACTTCATCTTTGTACTCACTGTGTACCTATAAAATGGTACACAATGTATCTTTGGGCAGTATAACTCCAGTGAGTACATTCAGCTAATAAAATTGAACTGATTTTTGGTTGTAATGGTGCTAGGCTGAGTTAAAAGTAATTGACAACTAAATAAAAAAAAGAAATATATTTCGTCAAATTGAATCAACTTTACAATGGCATCTAGGGTTTATTAAAAGCTGATTTTTTTGTACAAACTGACACATCTGCTTGACGAAGAGAAAGATCAGCAATACTATCTTCTTGTCTTGATCCAAGAATCCTTTTAGCTAGATTTATTTCTCTATGGTTATGTTTCAGAATAACTGGTTTCGGTAAGGATGAAGTAACCTTTTTCATCCACTGACTCTGTGGTAATTTATCTTGATCAGGCACATCAATCTGTAAAACATCAAATATGCTAAATCATAATCAGACAACTGCTTTCATACATAATAATCACATTATTTAATTTTGTTCACACAATAACAAAAAGAAAACAAAGATTAAAAACCTTATATACAACTTCACGAACAAATTTGTGGCAAAGAATAACTGTCCAAAAGGTACATTAAACCCTTTATTCTCATTTGTTCGATTCATTAGTTCGATCGTCGAACAAGTGAGATTTTTTTTTTCTCATTAGTTCGATCGTCGAACAAGTGAGATTTTTTTTTCTCATTAGTTCGATCGTCGAACTACTGAGATTTTATTGTTCTCATTTGTTTGACCGTCGTCGAACTTATTTTCTATTTATCCATTTTACTTACCAGAATCTCTTAGTTATGTATGGTCTCCTGGTACTTTTTTCAAAATAGTGATTTTATAAATGTTTATGGATGCAATATTGACCAGGGGATATACTCCCGTATTATAGAGAGATTATTTAAATTTTTGTATTGTTTTTTTATTTCTTCATGGCGATGCACACCTTCAGTCAGTCAATCTTCTTTCTTCTATCCGAAGGATATACAATATCTGGAATGCTGACCTGATACTCAAAAGCGTTCCGAAGAGTAAACCTCAATTAGTGGAAGCTGTCACTTTCTAGTAGTGTGTCTAAACAGTAACATAAGTGATGAGATAATTCTTTTTCTCTGAATAAAGTGAACTTCTAATTTTCAATTCTATATCCTTAGCTTAAAGTCCAAAAAAATAATAAAATCTTTAAACGACCTTCTGAGCTCATTAATAAACATTTATAAAATCACTATTTTGAAAAAAGTACTAGGAGACCATACATAACTAAGAGGTTCTGGTAAGTAAAATGGATAAATAAAGAAAATAAGTTTGATGACGGTTGAACTAATGAGAACAATAAAATCTCAGTAGTTCGACGATCGATCTATTCAATTGAACAAATGAGAATAATGGCATTAAACGATCCACAGAGCTCCATGGGATACTCGTGTTGCAAAAAACAATATAAGGCATTCTTTAAATATTTCATATATAATTATCATT